AATCGCTGTATTCATTTAATCGCTGTGTTTTTATTTAATCGCTGTATTTTAAGGTACAATTTTTCTTACTAGTATATGACGCAAAAATTATCTATGTTGAAAAAATCATAATGAGTTTCTTTTTAAGAGTGAACATTATAAATTATTTTCATTAAAATTTTTTAAGAGTGCCAGTTATCAAGTAAAAAGTTCACGTTCTGATATTAAACGAAGAGGTGCTGCGCCAGCATTTGTGATCGGTTTACAAGATCTTGAACTGCACGAAGGTGATGCTGCTGCATTAGCAGGAACAGTTGCTAGAAGTGAGTACTAATGTTGTTAATTCTTTGAAATGGTGAATTTTGAGCTAACTTTCATGTCTTCTTAAAATTCTAGTATGAATTGAAAATTTTTGTAGAACGAAGACATCATATCCATGGGAAATCAAGCAAGAAACGTGCGACGCAGATTGTCGCCATACCAGATATTGACGGCGAAACTTCAAACGTTTCCTTGGAGCCACCAGTTTTTACCACTAGTGAGTTTATTTTTGGTGTTAGAAGGGACTTCTGAGCTTAGCACATTACATCAGACTGATTAGAAATGATGGCTATGATTTTTGAATAAGGTGTAATATTTAACGAAAACAACTATTATTGTCTGTAGTACCATACTCATTATTGAGATGTTTTTATGTTGAAACAAACCATTTTCAGCATATATCATACATTGCGTTCAAAAGTATTCAAATAAATTTCTATTTTAAATTGTTGTAGCACTGGAAGAAATTCGAGCATTAATTGCTGAACGCAATAAAAACGTATGCCGTCCAAAATTTATGGTGAAACCGAAAGCAAAGAAATCATTAGCTGAATACAAATCTTTACGGTTGAAAACGGCCATTTCGGCTAATCCGATACCAACTGTACGTTGGGATAAAGCGGGAGTTGTATTGGAGACCGGTAACAAATATTCAATTTACAACGATGGTGACTTTTACTATCTTGAGGTTGGTATTTTGAAATCAGAAATTTATAGAAATTCCTCGTTAGAAAAAATCACTTATCACTTAAAAAATTTTATAACTTACTGTTTTCGAAAATTGTGCTAGAATTCACCATCTATAACATTTTGGTGATTTTGATACAAATTTTTAATGAGCAAATGTTAGGTGTTGTTAGGTCATAATTAATATTTGCTCGTGATTGAAAAATTTTGAGAATTTGTTTAAATAATTTTCAGGTGCATCATGTGTCGAAAATTGATGAAGGTTTTTACAATTGTTCAGCATCAAATAGTGAAGGTATTGTAACTTGTACAGCCGAAATTGTAGTAACACCAAGTGATGGTACTAAAGAACTACGAAAAGTACCAGTCGCGCCATCTTTTATTGAAGTATTACCTGGTAAATTAAAGGTAAGTTTTCTTGAAAAAGCACGGCATTTGAATGGAAACAAAAAAATGTAATTTTGGTATTTCTAGGAATTCCTGTGTAATGAATGGAATGAAATTGAATTGAACTAGTAATTGTACTGTGATGATGATAGCGCACCCTTATTTACAAACACATTCATAATTGTAGATAAGAGTTGTTTTTAATGTATCACATGTTCAGTATATTGAGTATTTTTGTTTTAAATTTTATTCTTTAAATTCTATCTTTTTTAATTTCATCCTTGGATTTGTTTCTGGAGGGAACGAACATAACTTTTTAAGGCAGTAGCCGGAGAAGCAGTATCAGTTGAGTGTAGCGTGTCAGGTTATCCCATCCCAGCTATAAAGTGGCTTCGAAATGGTGCTGAATTTCTGCCTCAACACGATCACTGCATCATATCATATGACGGTGAAACAACCACGTTAAGCTTCCTTAACATTGCTACATCAGATATTGGAAAATACATCTGTGTCGCCAGTAATCAACAAGGGCAAGCTAAAACAGCTATGCAACTTGATGTTGAACTACGAATGCTTCCTAAAATAGGTGGTACTCCTCCAAAGTTTTTGTCTGATAAACAGCCGAAAGAAATCATGGTAATGGATGGTGATGAAGTTCTCTTGCATGCTGAACTGTTGCAAGGTTGTTACTGTTTTTCTTTTTGGGATCTTCATGATCTCATACAGTTAGAACAGAACTACTTTTTGAAAATAAAAAACACAATCCTTGAAGTAAAATTGAATTTTGGTAGATCTCAAACTGAGCAAAATTTATTTATTCTTGTCTAATAAGTAAATTAAAAGTGTTGCATTTTCCTTAATTCGTTTACTAAATATTTGTTGCAGGCTCGGAACCACTATCAGTTCGGTGGATACGAAATAAAATGGAAATTCAAAATTCAAATGGATTCGCTTATTCACGTAAGGAAGGCAGTTGCCTTTTAACAATTGCAGATGCATTTCCAGAAGATAGTGGAATTTATATTTGTGAAGCAAGCAATGAATTTGGCACTGATGAATATAATATTAATCTTATTGTTACAGGTACATGTTTTATATTTATTGTTCATTTAATACATTCGTAATTGTAGATAAGAGTAATTTTTGATAAATCACATGTTCAGTATATTAGGTATTCTTGTTTTAAATTTTATCGCTGGATGTTTCTGGGGGAAATGAACAAAATGAAAAATTAGGATAATATTTAGAGCGTAGAAAGAAAAGTGTCTATGAAAATCAACCGATTATCGAGAATGCTCCAACAAGTATTAGCGTTGAACCAGGAAATGACTTGGAATTAATTGTAAAAGTATCCGGTCATCCCGAACCAGCTGTTATTTGGACCAAGAATTTGAGCCCAATTACATCAGGAGCTAAATACCAGGTTCGCAGTAGGTGGATCAGAGTTTGCCAATTTAAAATTCCAAACATTTTATAAAAATATCTAATTGAATTCAAAGTAAATATAAAATACCGACATATTATATCATTTTAGATGTTCAATGATAAGGAATCGTTCACTTTGAAAATTAGTAACTGTACCGACGAAGATGCTGGCAGGTATGAAATACAGGCAGTTAACAATTCCGGTACAGCTACAGCTGTGATCACCGTCATTGTTACTGAAGTAGTGAAGTAAGTTTTTTATGAACTTCAAATATTATTGCTTTTGAATTTTACATTATAAATTCGCGAATATATGTTCTATATTATATAACAAAACTTTAATCTTGATTTATTTCGAAACGAAATTTTTTCCTTGAATACTTTCATTTTGATTGGAAAATATTAGAAGTTTTTTCAAAATTCCAGCATTTGGTGATTGTTCTTGTTTTCATAAAATGTTTATTTACAGTCAAGACGCTGTTTTGCCGAAGTTCACTAAGCTGCCAATTTCAGTTCAAAGTACCATTGGTCAGAAAGCAAGTCTAAGTTGTAGTTTCAAGGTTAGCGTTTTGCATTGAAAATTATATTTTATTGTATCGTAAGTCACAATTTTCGGCTGTTGTAGAATGTTAATTTGATGATTTGTATGAATTGAAGGGCTTGAAACCAACGGTAACATGGTTCCATGGTAATGAAAAACTGATAAGTGGTCGTAACGGTATTGAAATCTCATCAACTGCAACATCGTCAACTTTGTCAATTCTTCGATTGGTGGAAGAACATTTTGGTGAATATCTATGCACAGTTCGTAATGATTATGGAGAAGATCTGGCAAAAGCAGTCATTCTTCTTGAAGGTTCATTTTTGTTTTTATGTGTACTGAACTAAATAGAGTACTGAAATTTTTTTGTACACTGGATAAAAATGTGTTGAAAATAATCCACACTAAAAAATAACCTCAAACTAGCTTTGATAATCAAATATGTGTTGCCAGTAAGTTGTACCTTGGAAATATCAGTAATTTTTCTCCAAATACTGACACGATATATCCAATAATTTATTATCTTTTGAAATAATTTTAATATAGCAAACTCTTAAGGTTAGCGAATAGGTTGCAAGTGAAACAAATTTTTGCATTGAGACTTGATTTTATATCGTAATACTGAAGTAGGTCAATACCTGAGTAGTACTAGAGTAGGTCAGTATCTGGTCAGTTTGTGCTGGAGTTTATTAATTTTGCTGATGACAAATAAACTGTTGCGTGGTGTGAAGTTTTAAAACCATACATCACCAGCAAAATGTTTCAGTTATTAAAAGTAAAATTAAGATGTGAAAATGATTTAGATCTTGTTCTCATACAATGTCGCATTTGAACTATTTTTACATCACACTATCAATTTTTTTGTAATTCATCTTAGGTTTTTATAATGGTTAAAAATCACGGGATATTTGTTTCAGGTTCATCTATGGCTCTGCCCTCCAATCGTTGAATCAGATAAAAGTTTGACCATAAAAGAAATAGTTTATTTTTGTTGTTTTCAATTTCATTAATTTATTCCTTCTCGTTATCCATCCTCTAAGCAGAAATCACCGAATAAGAAGTTTCATAAAATCAGAATATACCATTCCGAATTCGAAAATATACACGCACATGTATGTGCAAAATGTATGGTACATTTTTAACGAAAATATTAAGTGTTTTCATCTGAAAACATTCAATACTAAGATGGTATTCACCATTTATTATCGTAAATAAAAATTGTTGTCCTCGGCGCATATTTATGTTTTGTTTCATTTGATACCAATATCCAAAATTATTGATCACTTCATTGCTATGTTCCGTCATTGGTTGATCAGGTACTGTAGAACGAGTATTATGATTCAAAGTTATTAATCACTCGTATTATTCCATGCGTATTTATTTGTAGAACAGGGGATGCTGTTCATGATGAGACTTTAGGATTCATCAAGTAGCAATGCATCACCAAATGTTTTTGTTGCCATGCTGGACAACTTTTGTATATAGATAGTATTTATCGAAAATGAGTATTAGTTTTAATGGCTTAATCGAATTATAATTTGAATACTGAAGATATGCCGAAGTGCTTCTTATAATCACTTCAATTATATTCTGGTTTTGGAAATTGAATTTAAATCTCTTCTTTGTAGTATTGTAAATCTTTTATTAATGCTAGCATTTAGTACAAATGTCAACAGGCCCTCAGATGTTTGTACTGAAATGTAGTACTCAGTTTTCAGAATTCAAATTTTTCGTATTCAACATTTTAGCGCATGATTATCGACAAAGGTATGCGAAGAATACATTCTTGAAGTTTGTATCCATCATTAATGTAATTCATTTGATCGCGTGAAATTGCTGTTTTCATTAAAATCTAAACGACTATGACTTTGTAATCATGTGTTATTTTCTGTCTCACTTCAAGCACTGTCGATTCTTACGTACTTAGTGTTTGTACTATAGTTTTTAAGTGAACTGCATATTCAGATAATGCATAGTGTGGAAATAAAATATGTGGATTCTTAGAGCAGTGTAGCATCGATAATTTTTATTTCAAGTAAAAGTGATAAATAAAATTCCTATAAAAGCGTTCAAAGTTATGTGATAAATTCTTAATCGTCACGGATTATAATTACACAATCGCTTAATCTTCCTAAATAGTATTTGGTGTTCTCGGCTGAGATATTTTGTAACTCTCCGCAACAATTATGTTCTGTACAGAAAATGGTAGCATAAATTAAAATTGATTCTGATTCCAACTTTTATGCAAATTTTCATCCATCGATTGCTTACATTCCTAAAAATCATACAAAAAGTCGTCAAATTATATTTTATAACCATTTGTATGAATAGTATCTACTGACAGTAGTCAGTTTTACTAATTCTGTTTTAAAATGGCGAGGGAGATGACGGTTGTCATTCCCATGGAAGAGGGCGAGCCATTAGGTGCTGTGCCTAATGATAAACTAGTAATTGTTAAGGTTCAGAATGGTACATTGGCCGACGGAAAGCTTAAGGTACTTTTTCGTAAAAAAAAAACAGCAACAATTATTTATACCAGAATTAATTGAAGTAAGAAACAGAAGTACACTTACTTATTTAATTATTTTTACTCTATTTTTATGGAATTTTTCTTGAACACAACAAAGTTAAGTTAGTTTTTTTCATAATTGACTCATACAGTTTATTTGATAGTTCAAATTATACAGTAATACTTGTAAGCATGCAGACTTGTTTAGTGAAACAGTTCTTTTGCATTTTTTCAAGATTCATATTTGAAAAAAACGTAAGTCGTCGATATGAAAAGAGTGATTACATACAATGAGCATTCAGTGTGCCTAACGCTTACATATTCTGTGAAAATGAATTGTGTACTCTAAGAAGTTTGTCGATTATAGGTCGGTGATCAGATACTCAAAGTAAACGATGCTATTGTTCGTGATGCGGATCATTTCTATCAGCTTCTTCGCTACGCGCCGCCTGTTGCTTCTATCGTCTTAACACGCGACGCGAAAAGAGCCGCTGAGTTAGAAGCTAAAGTTCACATTCCACCGGAACGTGCCAAGTTGATTGTACGCCGCGATGGATACACTTACTTTGTACAACTATTTTCTTTTTCTACCATGAATAACAATATCACGCAGTAATTTATACAATGATTAATTGAAATGAAATTAGTATTGAACTATAAAGTTAAGCAAAATGATATTAAATTTTTAGATATTTTGTTTGTGATAGAATTTTTATATTGTGAAGTATACGTAGTAAAGCGTGAAAAAGTTTGTAGTGGACGCTCAAATGCTTAAAGCACAATGTATTAACAAAAAATTGAAATACTGTGTAAACTGTTGTCGTTTAAGGTGGCTCGAATTGATTGGAAGCCAGGTGGACCGAAGCTTGGACTTGGCATCAAGCATTACCAGAATCGCGTGCTCGTCTCGCGCACTGACCAGAATTCGCTTGCTGCTCAGCAGCTACTTGTTGGTGACCACCTCATCGATATTGATGGCAGACCTGTCACGGACAAGGATGTTTGTCGTGAACTTCTTCTCAAAAGTCTTCAAGCTCAACGTTTTGTCACTATGGTTGTTGAACGTCCTGAAACCATGGAGGCACGACATTGGGTTCAGTGCGCATTAACAGCAACAGCAACGCAGGCTCCATCTGTTGCTATGAATAGTGACGTACGCGAAATTGCAGCGAGAGAAAGGCAAAAAATGAAGAAACCTCTACCACAGGTGAGCATATGCTGTTCAAGACTTTATTGGTTCCATCTAAAAGCTGAAAAAAGAATCTGAGTTCTTTCATATCTTTAAACTGATCTTTTATCATGATAATTTTTGCTTAATGGAGATCATTTTACACTTTCACAGCATCTTTATGGTAAATAGCGGTAAATCTTCAAAAATGTTCTATAGAGATTAATGTGAATGAATGCGTATCTCATATTATGATCTGATACTTTGCCGATTACTGATCTATTTTTGAGATTCTTAAAAAACTTATCCGCGCTTTTTGTAATTTATTGAAGCAGTTAGTGATTGATGTTGTAGCCAAAGAAGAGCTGTTTGCGAAGAAGCAGTACACCATGCAAACCTGTAAATATCAATGAAAACAAAGCATCAGAATTCATTATTGCTAGTGATAATGAAGGCAAAAACCTTCGACATGTTCGACGATAATTGTGATCAGTCGACCTCCCGTACTGATCACTAAATCTACCTTAATGTACTAATTGAAATAATGACTTGTAAACAATTTTTCAAATTTACTTTTGACTAACTTTTTTCTACTATATTATTTCTGTATAAAATATATAACTTGATGTGGTCAGTGCTAACATGGTATTGTAATTGGAATATAAAGCATATTTTCATGCTTACATATATCAGGTTAAATTTGGTGTTTCAACTTTTATTGGCTCAAAAATCGTTATGGGTATTAGACTGAATAACCCAGTTTCATTTTTTTTTAAAGTAAACTTTTAAAAAGTAGATGAAGGAAGGGTCTATATTGTATATAATCATCATTTTATATCTCGTAAGCCTGTGCTGTGACATTTAGATATCATAATTATGGTTTGTATATCTGAACAATTCACGATTTGATCAAAAATTGCAAACCGAGCAATCAGTGGATTCTTGCATTTGATCCAAATTACTTCTCAGAAACTTGTTTCTGTTTTCATTTCAAAAAACTGCACCGTGAGGAAACTTTTTTTGTAAGGAAAAAATTTACGTTCAATAAACGTTTTTATTTGAACAGTCAAAAACTAGTAAACTTGTTTTCTGCTCGCTTTTGAAACATTCTCACCATTCCAATTTTACGTAAGAGTACACGCGAGAAATGAGACTTAACACGATCTATTGTTATTAATTATTATTACAACCCTATGGTGGCTGCTCTTACGTTGCCAACTCCTAATTAATATTAATTACATCTTTCTTTTCTCGCTTTTGAAATTAATATATCCCACACTCCTGTAGTACTACCGACAAAAGCCTCCTCTCTCAAAAAAAAGAGATAAGGGGGTTGCCTGAGATACCAAAACGTAGACATCCGCGTGCCTCATGCTGGAATCGAACCAGCGGCCTTCTGTTTACTAGACAGACGCTCTGCCCCTGAGCCAATGAGGCTACACATTCCCTGGACTATAAACTACATCCAAATAAATAATTTTTTGATATTTTAAAGTTAAAAGTGTTCTTTAATGAAAATTTCACACCCTCAGCAGATCCATTAGACTTTTATTTTGATTTTTCCTGATTTTTCCCTTTTTTATGCTTATTCCAGCAAAGTTGAGTATATAATCCATTTGTCCTCAAAAAATGAGAAATCTTTGAAAGTTAATCTAATTTGCGTTTTAGATTACGCACTAATATCTCACGTGATATTTAGCTTCTTTCAAACTACTTTCACGTTTAATTAGATTAGACTTTTTTTTGTCTTTTCATTGAATTTTTGCCGAAATTTCCCTTCTTAATCCGTAGCTGGAAGCGCCATATATTTCGAGCTCAATATAGTTCTTCACTCGTTAATTGCTAGGAACTATCTATTAATTCAATTTATGTGATACGAGAAGAAATCTTCTAACTGCCAGATTACTTTATGTGTGATGAGAAAAATTCAGATTTAAAAAGATTCATGGAAAGATTGATACACGGATATTCTTCATTACAGTACATCCAGTCAAAAATACTACTATTCAATGCAAATAACATAGGAATTAACACGCAGTATTCATTTAAACGTAACTCATTCTTCGATACTAAATATGAAATGCAAAGATACCTTCTGTGTAAGCAATTTACTTTTGCAAAGATAACCTACACAGGCCAACTGAAGTCAAATATAATGATAAGCTATTCAATAGTAAATCGAGAAATGGTTTACAAAATTCTGGTCACAGTACATGCTAGAAAATAAACTGTGATTCTCCTTTTTAAACGTTAACAATGATGTTTGCTAGCGAAAGGTGATTGTTGACGATTAAGACTGATTATTATCAAACAAAAACTGTGTTCTGCTCCAGCGTACTTATTTTTCTTTTTGCATGAAGCTCTAAAGTTCAGAAAACAGTAACTAACACAAATTCTATCCAAATAATGCAATTCAAAGCAGCCTTCTGTGCAAGCAATTCACTTTCACAGACATATCCTACACAGTCAAGTCAATGAAAGGATGTATACGAAGTTAAAAACTATTCATATTGGTATGAATCTAAGAAGTGGAACTTATTCCACTCTTCCTACCATTAACTGCGATAGTAATCAAATTAGTGCAATGTTTAAGCTAATTTCAGTAGAAGCACATATAAATACTCGAAATCGATGTAAAACTGCTACAAACACATTAATCAAATATTCAGAAGCCAATAAACTGATCGGAAATATGAATGAAAGTGATCTCGAAATCAGAGAATCCCACATAACCGTTATTCAATATTCAATCTTTTCTTAGTTCCCTAAACATATTAAGGAGCTCATTCTTAAAAGTATTGATTGCTTGAAATGAACGTGAAGAGTGATTGTTTTTATGGCATTCTAGTCATTTCACCGCCAACGTAAGAGCAAATTTTGGTGCGTTTACTAGTTTACAGCTAAAAATAACTTTATTGCATTCCCGGAATTTCAAAATATTGCAAAATATAAGCAAAAACACTTTTTGTACCCAAAACTTGCATTGCAAATATTATCTCTGACTTTAAATACTGCGAAAACTTGTAATAATTTTTTGAGGTCACGAAAAACAAGACTAGTTTTGATCACTAATTGAAAATATGCAAAAATACTAAAATTGTTGGATCTTTTCGTGACCTTTTGACAATTCAGAAGAATGCTAATTTACTCTTAATCTGAAAGCTATGAAGAGTATAAACGTGTCTTATGATCAACGCTATTATTATTACTGCAATAGACGCATATATTAATTCAAATCATTGCATAATTTTTTTACAAATATGGGCTAAAATGATTGGCATCACAATCGAAGCCTCATTGGCTCAGGGGCAGAGCGTCTGTCTCGTAAACAGAAGGTCGCTGGTTCGATTCCAGCATGAGGCAAACTTTTGATTTCAGTAGTGAGTTACTTGTCGCAACAATTGAAGCAGTGATATTCCCTGGTCACCTTGAAGTGGTGGAATGTAAAAATGGCTTCTCTCACTCTCTCTGCCGTTGCAGTAGTGCAGTGGTTCTCAAAAGTATTGATTTGGCTGATTGCGACTTGTCTTGACTAATTCGCTATGGAATCTCCAACTCGCGTGGAAACCAATAGTAAATGGTATTAATGAGCAAAGTGCAACAATAATATGAAGACGGCAGCTTGTTCTGAAGTTTATTCTCTCTCGTTTCTGCACGCTTTTCTGATAGGAAATTTTAACTTCAAAAGGTACAGTTCACGTACAGTGTATATTTTTGCGTAACACTAATTGAAAATTTGCAATATCAAACGATTACAAACAGTAATGACCAATTTCATGTTTCTACTGAATACTGATAATTATAATTTAAATATGAAATTCGAACTGTAATGCTTTTATAAGATTAAAAGATCTACTAACTGTATTCATTTTATTTAAAGAAACGAAAATTTTGATAACCTTAAGTGCATATACCGAAGCGGTCCAATGGAGAATAAATCCATAATTTCAACAATAACACATAGACAAAACGTGACAATAATACAAAATAGCGATAAAACAAAATGCATACGTAGCAGATGACGTGATCTGTAACGCCATCCCACATATAAAAACCAATAAAGTCGCAGCTGCGTGATTCCAATGATTGCGAAAAGTACTGCTGCAATTATGACTTCTCCAAAATCAGTAAAATTAATATCTAATAACAGCTCTGTGAGTTCTCTAGCACAATCATATCAATCAATTTTTGATTGATTGCCAAAGTTTAAGTAACTTCGTAGCTAATGAGTTGCTGATACTTGATTTCCAACCCAGAAATATTAAGAATCATGGAATCTATTCCGGCACATCGAAACCGGATTAAATTTCTAATAACCCACTTTGATTTCAGGTTTTATTGAATTGATTTGTTATAAATTGAAGACTCTATTTCACAAGTGATTAAATGATAACAATATTATCAGTAGATGAGTGATTAATGTTAAAAATTGGACCATTGACAGATTTCAGAAATAATATCCCCTGGATTAAAGAAAACGCGATAGTAAGCAAAGAAAAATAGAGCTCCACAGCAGCTGCATTCAAAACTCGAATATCTGTAAAATTTGATCCAAGAAATTTAAAGTTCAATGAGCACCAAAAAAATGAAGCCAAATAGGTGCGTAAGGTGCAACAAGCGACACCTAATTCCAAACAGCAAAGAAATACCTGCACCGACACAAAATTTTCCTTCATAAATAAATGTAAAAGTGATTAGTGTGCAACCACAAGGTAAAATTTCATGTCAAATTTTCATAAAATGAATACAAGCAAGTAATGAAGAACTGTTTCAGTAGGAAACTTACATTTTTATTCAGTAATTCATAAAATCTTTTTCAACAGTTGAAAGTGCGTTAATAATACCCACAATTACACAGAAATCACAACTCAGTCATATATACTATTTAAAGTTCTGGTGTATGTAGCTACCTCCAGTATAAAATTACCTTCAATGCGAAGATGATGCGAAACTACATTCTTATTCGCTAGCTTCATCACTGACAAGCGACCAGACCTTGCAAGCAGAGGAACTTCAACTGTGTAAAATCTTCACTCTTTAATATTACAAATTTTTTAAACATGTATTCAAATTTTCTTGCTGGTTTCCAAGTCAAATAAATGATATTTTATTTGTCAATACTTTAACTACAACTAGACAAAAATATTCCCATCAATTAATGCAAATAAACAACATATTAAAAATATACATATATAAAAAATAACGTTATTCTTTATATCAAAAGCTGTAATATACCCAGAAAGCACAAATCAGACATTATCTATTTATTACATTAATTTTTCGAAAGATTGAAATCAATATACTAAATAGATGCAATGTTATTGGAAATAATAACATTTAGCACAAGAGTTACAGATCAAATTCTGCAGTTTAAGTCAAGTTTTCATAAAACGAATACAAGCAAGTGATGAAGAGCTGTTTCAGTGGGAAGCTTAACTTATACATTTTTGTTAAATAATTCAAAAAAATTCTTTTTCAAATAGCTGAAAGTGCGGCATTAATACCACCCATAATATTAACTTTTCTTCCACCGTACTTCTTTGAAATCACAGCTTCAATCTAAAAAACCAATACCGAGATTGGTGTGAATTTAACATCAACTTAGCTGCTATAATAGAAAAGAACATTAAAACGAATCAAAATACTATGTACAGTCAATTTAGCAAGTTCAATACTGAAGATTTACATGACATGAAAATAAAGACTAAAATGAAATTTTTGAAAACATCTCATTTCTCAGCATCAAATAATACAGAATGTCCTTCAAACTTCTCTAAAAAATGGTAATGCGTGAGCAAATATCAAAATATAATCAAGAAAAAGTATTAAAAGTAACAAATTCTGTGTAAAAGGTTAGGACCAAAATATGTTTAGTTCGATTTGAATTTTCGAAACCACATTAATGCTAACAAAACATACTTCTTTCTGCAACACTTTTGTCGCTGCACACATCTCATCCAATATTTGCCGTGATTTTTGCACACTACTTTGAGCTTCTTTTCGTTTCTCAATAGCAAGCTCTTTCATTTTCGCATAACGACTTTCTAAAGCGCGCTTCTGATCCAAGGCTTCAATCAGCTTTTCAACATATCTAACAAATAAGAAATTTATTAGTGAACTATGAATTTCTGATGAATTTCTGTAACACGTCCAGCAGATATAAAATTTATAGAAGTATCACTACTCATGTCCCTTCAAACGAATTTTGAACAAAACAAAGTTCTGCATATATACTTATTGTCAAGTTTCTTTAATATACTTGAAATTTACTGAGGTGACGAACGGATTTTGAACAAATGTTCTTTCTGAGAATCAAATAATTTGTCGATGATTTCCTTCACATTTTTCAACCAGTTATGTAGTTTTTCCACAGTAACCTGTAAAAAAATCTACTACTTATTATGTACTATAATCTGAAGCATTTAAACTCCAAATAATCTTATCAAAATCGTACACGAAACCAAACTGTAAAAATTACTGTTTTTAGTGCAGGAGGGCGCATTTCCATTCCTGATATGTAGATGTCGAATAAATTTTCTTCATTTTCATCAACTTCACGCATTTCCAAAAAATTTTCTAGCTACAAATATATACATATATATAAATCAAATCAACTCAAAACAATATCACACAGAGGCCATTCTTTTTTCATTAATTACTGATTCTGACGCGGATCGTATTCTGGCATTTCTGCTGCACTCGCCCCGTGCTATATTGATTTCCGCTACTCCGTCCCCGTCGAACCCACGATGCTGATTGAATGAGATGCGCTTGTACATCTTTTTGAGCCCCATCGATTGGATATATGCCTTGACTTGATCAGATACACTGCTCCCCTAATGGAGTTCACAACAATTTCATCCCAAGTCATCACATGCGGAATTCTTTTCGTTCAGCATTTTAGCTCTGCCCCGAACCCTGATTAGCTAAGTATTATATTTCGCTTCTTCTCAGTCTCAACTGCCATCAAGTTGTCTTGTCCAGTGATGCCAACTTCTATCAAAAGTACTTCGTGTCGCACACCAGGATGTCCGATCTATCCACTCTTATTCTATTGCAGTTCTTACTCACGTACAAACTCTAATCTCCACGTTCTCACTCGACGACCTCTTGCACAAGATGGCTTTTCCATGAGTGGGAATGCTTCCAGGCTGCACTTTTTGCAGAACGGCTTGCAATACTCGTAATCACATGATTCGCTTTCTTTAGTTTATCAAAGGTAATTGCAGACAAGAATTTATCGCTGTACAGGTAACGAGACAAAGACCACCCCCTTTGGACATCCTCTTTAACGGTCAGGAACCGTCTTCAGCAATTCTTCTGGCTAACTGCTTTCCTGGAATGGGTACTTCAAACGTAATCATCCTGCTGGTTTCTGGTTCCGTTACACAGGCAGAATGTTCTCTCACACCCTTCACATAGCTTTAATATATACATATATATTATATATATA